CTCCACACCTGAAATAGCAGAGCCCCCGTCACGGCCTGAGAGGCAGATGAAATGTCTGTCTTCGAAATAAGTAAACCGCGTGGTTTTGGACAGTGGCTGCAGAAGCCTCCAGGAGCACCCTAGGCTATGGCCCGCGTCCTCCTCCACGATGCCCTCCGCGCCCCTGCCCTGTTCTGTGGCCCCATCGCTCCGCACCTGTGCAAGGCTCCACCCAACTCCCTGGACAAACTCCCTCTCAGGAGGCGGGAGAGAGGCCCCGGGTGCAACTTAGCCGTAGAAAGAAAAATACACGGTATACTCCTTACAGAGTTAAAAGCCTTGCCTTATCTCTGCCCTGTGCCTATCTGAGGTGAGAATGAAGCCAAAGGTAGAGAGGGTGGTGGGACCCTGATAGCAGCTGAAGGGGTGGGGGAACCAGAAGTGAAAGGCAACCAGGTGAGTTATAATTTTCAATAAGACCAGAGCCGGATGACAAACATTCTTTATCTGGACAGCCACATTCCTTTTCCCCGTGGGACTCTTTTCTCCCGGCTTTTCTGTGGTCTGATTGTGTCTCTTGTTTTCCTTAACCTGTTCCCTCCCCCCCTCTTGTTTTCTTGGCCGGCGCAGAATGGTGTCCTGCAAGTTTGAAGAGCCAACTTAAGAGGTGGAGGGGGGGAGGGGAGGGGAGGGGGAGGGGACTGAGAAGGTCCTGGAACTCGAGGGCGCAGGAAGCGGGCCGCAGATGCTGCAGCGCCACTGGGAGGACTTCACCGTCTCCCCCACTTCTCGGCTTGTAGATATCGAGCACCGGGCCCTCAGCTTGGAAACTGGCCTAGATGAGGGGTCAGTTTCCGTGGGGACCCGCCACAAAGGCAGTGGTGGTGACCGTGGGCGTAGGGGAGGAGGGGGAGGGGAGGTATAGTGACCACGACAATGACAATGGCCGTGCAGGGTCGGGCATTGAGAAAGAAGCCGTGCGGCTGAGGTGGGAAGAGGCGGACCAGCAGAAGCGGGGAGGCAGGGCTGGAGCCGTGGCCAAAGCCTGTGCGTCTGTCCTCAGGTGTCTGAGGATGAACCTCCCTCAGCAGCGGGGATGAACGCAGGGAGGGGCGAGACCAGGTGTGGGGGGAGCGGGCAGCTGGCTGAGGCCCCCGCGCGGGATGGAGGAAACTGGGGAGAGAGGCCGGAGGCTGGCCAGAGCTGCCCTGGCCTCTCCCTGCCTCAAAGCCGGTGGCTTCCCCGGAGCGCCCCGGCCGTCACAGCCCTGCGCCCGCTCGCACACGACCCCTCGCTCTGACGCCCCTGCAGCGGCGGCCCTCGGCCTGGAGCACCCATCTCCGCGTCCACCTGGAGCGTCCTGAGCGCTCACCCTGCCAGGGGGTCTTGGGGAGCCCCTCTTGCCCCGGAGTCCGACCCTCTGCACTCTCCGTGGGCTCCTCTGTACCGGGGGCTGCGTCCAGCACCGCCGGCGTTCCCGGAGTTTGTGCAAAGAGGGCCTGGCTTTGGGACTGCGGGCCAGCGGGCCGCTCCAAGAGCCGCCCAGGGGCCAGGCTGGATGCCCTCCCCCCACCCCAGGAGCGGGGGCGACAGCTTCGGGGGTGGGCGTGTCAGTGCTCAGAGTGCGAACGCGGATGGGCAGAGACGCCGGAGGGAGGGGTCCCGGAAGCCCCTTCCTAGTCAGCTCTGCGCCCAGGCACCTTTTGACTGCCCTCTTCCCCTGCCCGGCTGGCACGGGGCTCTGAGAAGGCCTGGGCTGAGTCATGGGCCCAACTGGGAACATGACAGGGCCTCCCTGCAGGACAGTGGCTTAGGTCCAGCAGGGAGGCTCCTAGGAGCCAGGCTGGGCAAGGGAGGGAAGGTGCCAGGTACAGCCTCCCAGAAGCAAGGCCTTGCACTTGGGGTCAGGACTGGGGAGGCCTCGAAGCTTGGCCCAAGAACCGGCAGCCCTTCTGGCACCAGCTCAGCTCAGGGCAACTTCTGGGGACCTCTAGGCAAGCAAGGTCCCCCCGCCCTGCCCTTGGGGTCTGTCTCAGCTCTTCCTGGAGGGTGTTTGGCCAGGACTAGGCTTGGGACACACATAACGCCATCTGCCATCTGTCCCGGGCCTGGTGAGGGAAGCACCAACTTCACGCTCCTCCGTGAAACCGCGGGGTGGGGGGGCCCTGGAACACCCGTACACAGCTGCCCATCAGCCCGGGCACCAGCTGGGCTGGCTCAGGGATCCTGGAACCACCAAGGGGCCAGGCCCGCCCAGCCACCCAACCAGCCTGACCCCCCGGCCCTCTAGACATCAAGCTGGGCTCCACGGGGTGGGGATGGGGGGCAGCAGGCACACAACCCCCTCCCAGGCCTGCCTACCTCTTGTGAGGGCCCATCCCGCCCAGAGGGAGGTAGGGGTACAAATGAGGTGTGGAGGTAGGGGAGAGGGCACAGGGTGGGCTTGGGGAGGGGAGGGGGGTGGGAGAGGGCAGGGGAGCTGGGCTTGCCTCTGGATGCAGGGGGACAGGAAGACCCAGAACCACAGGATTGGGAGCCTCAGATCTGAGTCCCAGGGCCTGCGGGTGCTCAGAAGTCACCCCAAGAGAGAAGCCACGAGGCCTCTCACCAGGTCCCAAGCTGCACCCTGCTCCCCGGGATTCCCATCCCCCAATTCAGGGTTAACGGGGTACAGATCTGGGGAAAGAATGTCTGTCACCTGTCCACGGCCCTGCCCCAGTCCACTCCACCCATGAGACACAGCAGGTGGCATCTGGGACAGGGCGCCCAGACTGCCCACCACCCACCTGGGTCCCCCATCGGCAGTGCCCCCAATTCCCACACGCACTCCTGTCCCCAGGAATAATCACGGCCGTCTCCACCTGGGGTGGGCTTTATTACCACTGTCACTGAGACGATGATGAGAACATGGGAAGACAGCACTGATTTCCAGACCTTCACAGCAGGCGGGCACGTGCACACAAAACCTCCCGCGCAATGCTAAGCATCAACTGTCCTCTGGGTACCCAGAGCCACCCCCCAGGGCCAGGACAGCAGTGACCGAGGGGCGGGAGGCTGGCCGCCCAGGAGGACCCCACACAGCAGGCTCTACCCGAAATGCATTTACACACCTCTGTGCTGCACGATGGCACACGATTAGCGTCTTAAATATACTTGTGTATGTGTATCTATTTTATCTGAACCGCGTCAGCTATTAAATGTAAAACTGACCACTTCTCTGTACATTAACTTCACAGTAACTGTTTGCAAAAGACAATGAATCCAGTGTTGATAACTGAGGGCAGGCTTCCTGCCCCAGGAAAATAAGTTTCTTCCCCGGTGGAAACTCCTTGGGGAAAACCAGGCCCGATGCTCACCTCCCCGCTGCCTGCTGGGGTGGGCGCACAGCTGCTGGTCCGGCTCAGGCCCCGCCTTTGCTGGACACAGGTGCCCACACAGGCAGACTCACCCTCACACACACACACACACACACACACACACACACCGATTCTGAAGCACATCATGCCAAGCGTGAGGTCCCACCAGCCCTTCCAGAGGTGGAGGTGGGCCAGGACAGTCAGAAGCGGAGGTCCCTACCCCAGCTCTCTCTCTGGTCCGCAGGCCAGTTGCCCACAAACCGGGAGAGCCGAGGGCTTGCGGGGAGACGGTCCCCGCCTGTCCACCTGCTGCAAAGGCCAATGGTTTCTCACTCCAGACCAGGCAAACAAATAAATACGACATCAAGTGTTGTCAGGGGCCGAGAAGATCATTTAAACTTGAACTCTGACCTCAGCACCACTTCCAGTCACCGCAGAAAGAGCCCATGTAGTCTGGGGAAACCAGGAGCCCAGGTGGCTCTGCCACCTGCGGGACTCCCAGAAGCTGGGGCAGCCCCACCCCTGCCCACCCCCTTGGGTTCCAGCAGCGAGCCCTGCTGGGTGAGCAGGCAGGCAGGGTGGGGTGCTCCCCAGCAAGCACGAATGTGGTGGCCTTTAGGAGCATCAGCCCAGAGCCCCCCCACCGCCCCCCGCCGCCCCTCCCTGCGAGGTGGCTGCTCTCACCCAGGCCCCACAGGGAAGGGAATCGCTGCAAACATGGCTCCTGGTAAAGAGAGCAGCCTTCGGCCCCCCTGCTCAGTGCTCTGGAAATGACCAGCAGCTTCAGGGAGACCCTGAGCAGGCGAAGTGACCTTCGAGGTCAGGCCTACCGCTGACCAGCGGTACTCAAGGCGGGCAGCTGCGTTTCCAGCCCCCTCAGTCTCGCCCTGGGGAGGTTCAGAGGCGCCCTGGATTCTGTGCTGGGCAGGGGAGCGACATATGGCCCATCACCCACGGGCAGACATCTGGCAACCTCCGGAGGCTCCTTCTGTATCTAAGGAGAAGCGTTTCCAGGTCCCCACTTTCTCTGCCCCGTGATACGCTGCGGTCAGGGTCGAAAGCTCTGGAGGGCCAACCTGCCAGCCCAGCGCCGGTAACTCTGGAGCCTCGCAGCTTCCGGCTGGCTCTGCTCCTGCTGCCCTGGGGACCCTGCTGGGGCCTGCACCCCCGTCACGCCAGCTGTGCCCTGCTGGCTCTCACTGTGCCCGGGGCCTCCCTTGCAGGGGCTTCCACTGCCACCCACCAGGAGTAGCCTGTTCCATCAGAGCTCCCTGTCGGGGACTCCCACTGGCAGCAGCTGTGAGCGTGCATCCGTCACCGAGCATGGTGCCAGGCTCGCAGGGTACCCCTGAGCCTGCTGGGGAGCTGGTCAGGAAAGCCCCGGGTGGAGGGTCAATGGGCCTGCTCGAGCTGGGGACACTCCTTGGGATTGGCTGAGGGGACGGAGAGGAGGACGGCATCTGGTCAGGGCACGGCCGAGAGCAGAAGTGAGTTGGCGGAGGCACAAGGCTGGGGAAGGGCTGTCCGTGGGGCTCCCAGTAGGCCCAAGTCTGAGGCCGTGCTCGCAGGGCAGCAGGGTTCTTTACCCCCGGCGGGCCCAGCCTCAGGGGCTTCACCTGCTGAGCTCCGGCCCCTCGCACTCCACGCTCACCCCTGCAGCGGAGGTCACGCCAGCAGGGACCTGACCAGGCCACAGTGGAACTTGCGGACGTGGCGGTAGAGGTCCCCCGACTGCGTGAAGCGACGCTCGCACCAGCGGCAGGCGTGGGGTTTCTCGCGCGTGTGCACCACGGCGTGGCGGCTCAGGTTGTGCGAGTACTGGAAGCTCTTGCCGCACTGCACGCACGTGTAGGGCTTCTCGCCCGAGTGCGTGCGCTCATGCCTCTTCAGCGTGTAAGTGCAGGAGAAGGTCTTCCTGCAGAGCGGGCAGGTGGGCGCTGCACCGTCGGGCGAGAGCCGGGCGCGGCCGACGTCCCGCTCGCGGAAGTGGGCGCTGAGGTGCAGCTGCAGCACATGGGCGCTGGGGAACAGCTTGCCGCACAGCGGGCAGAGGCAGAGGCGCCCACCCGGCCGCAGCACATCCTCGATCGCCCCCCGCTCTGCCTCCAGCTCCAGTTCCCCACTGCCCACTTCACTGACCGGCAGCGGCTCCAAGCCCCCGGCCAGGCGCTGGGCTGCAGGAACACAGGGTGGCTGCAGGGGGCTGTGGGGGCACCGAGGGCTTCTGCTGTCCCCTCGCTCGGACAGGGAGTCTGACTCGTCCTTCACGGTCGGCTGGGACCCTGGCTGCATCCGGCTGCAAGGGGGTGTCTGGAGGACGCAGGGTGGGTGGATTGGCTCCCGCCTCGGGCCGGGCTTCAGTGACAGGTCCAGGGCCCGGTCTGACTCTCCAGGAGCCTGCCAGTGGGGAGGCCCCCGTGCCAGTGGAGGGCGCGCGGCCTTGACCCCAGCGGGAGGGAGACTGGCCTTCTGGGCGGCTGGACAGAGTGCAGGGGACCAGGCAGACAAGGGGCCTGGGGGCTGGCCAGGCAGCTCCGCCCCAGGCGCAGGCGTCTCCAGGGGCAGCGCGCGCTCCTTCTCCCGGAGCCTGTTCTTGCAGACCTTGACGATGTCGTACATGTGCAGGTAGCTGGCCGCGGCCAGGATGTCCTCGATGGGCAGGCTGCGCAGGTCCAGGCGGCCCTCGTACATGAAGTCCAGCAGACGGCCGAAGGCGGGCGCCGTGACGATGTCGCCGTTGAGCCGCACCGTGTCGCGGCTGCCCGCGGGCCGGTCCCTGTAGAAAAGATGGAAGTAGACGCTGCACGCGGCCAGCACGGCGCGGTGGGCCGCGAAGCGCGCGTCGCCCACCAGCACGGTGCAGTCGCACAGGAAGCCCAGATCACGCTGCTGCCTCAGGCGGCCCAGCAGCCGCCCGCCGTGCTCCGGGAACTCCATGCCGCCGCGGTCATCACCTGGGCACAAACGGGACTCCCATGAGCGCGCCTGGAGACGCCGCGGCCGCCGCTCACCCCCAGTCGCCCGACCAGCCCCCAGCCCTTCCCGGGTGCGGGCAGCGCGGGGAGAGGGGCGCGGGGCTCCGCGCGCAACTGCCCGCCTGGAGCCGCCCTGGGCACCTGCCCGGAGCAGGAAAAACTCGATCGAAAGTAAACAGGAGCCGCTCCGCCGCGGGGGCGGGTCCCGGGACGCGAGCGGAGGGGGCCGGAGTCGCGCGAACCTGCGCGCGTCCCCGCCTGGAGTGCCCCTCCCCGCCAGGGCGCCTCTGAACTTC